AATAAGCCCTACTCATAAAATAAGCCCCAGCAGGATATCTAAGCATGTGCGAAATATAAGCCCTACCGCCTGAAAAATCAGCCCTAGTGGTGGGCGTGGCTATGAAAATCAGCCCTAGTGAGGGGCGTGGCTATGAAAATCAGCCCTGGTGAAGGGCGTGGCTATGAAAATCAGCCCTGGTGGTGGGCGTGGCTATGAAAATCAGCCCTGGTGAAGGGCGTGGCTATGAAAATCAGCCCTGGTGGTGGGCGTGGCTATGAAAATCAGCCCTGGTGGTGGGCGTGGCTATGAAAATCAGCCCTGGTGAAGGGCGTGGCTGCGCAGCACAACTGCGCAACCCATGCGTGTCGTCTTGGAGAGGGAAAGAACACGAGCAGCCCTTCTCATCCACCCGGTGACAGCTCTAGTGCTCGACAGGAGAGATCGGGGCCGGTGGCTCTAAAGGAAACAAGTCACAAGACATTCAGGATGGGATTTGGGGTCTGGAGAGTGAGGATGATGTTCCAGAAGAAGACGACTTCACTGTATTTGAATCAATGAAGATAGTTGTGCTGTACTTAAAAAAAAATAACACATCCCCTGAAAATAAACCCTAAGGTGTCTTCTTGAAGACAAATAAATATAAGACCCTGTCTTATTTTCGGGGAAATACCGTGACTCTGAATAGCTACTTCTGTTAACACTGTCATTTATTCCCTTCATAACTCCTGAATGACCAGTTTATCTCCCCTTCTGTCTTTTAGAATGCCTCCTTTACTCTGAGGAATAGGATAATTCTTGCTCTGGAAGATACTCAGTCCCTTGAAAGCTTTATTGCTACTGAAAATATCAAACTAGAAATGCTTAAATAGATTTTGAGGTAGGGCTTGTACATGCAATTTAGATAAAATCAAAACTGACTGGAAACCTTCACCACAACTCAAAATGAATCTTACCAAAATTATTTTCGAAAACTCAGAAACAGAAAAAAAAAAGTTGTGTTATGTTTTCAGAAACCATCATTCACTTCACATTGTCTTCATTCAAATTCAGTGAGAACTAAAGAGCAGAGAAAGACTGTCTGTGTGTCAGGTCCTATATCATAACTCCCTTGAGCTTTTCTAGCAAAAAAAGAGATTCTTTCCAGAAACCATTCCCGACCCTGTGTGGCAAATATGTCTAATTTGGGTCTGCCTGGAAACATTTTCCACATGCTTTCTCCCCGACCCCCAACATCAGCTTTATAAATCTCAAATGGTCCTTGGGAGACGACAATGTGCTTTAAAATATAGGAAAACTTGAGATTTCAGGAAACTGAGGTAAACTGTTTGATGTTTACCCCTCACTTTCAAATTTCCAGACTCTCTAATGAGCCTTTTAGGGTGTTTCTTCCAATTGACTGCCAAGGTAAACATGGCTACCTTTGAGAGAGGGAAAGAAGGGAAAGAAATTTCTACAGTTCAGGGTGCTCCCCACCTCCGTCCCCTGGCTGGGCCTGTAAGTGGAGAAAAGCATACATTTTGGGGACAGTAAGATAAGTCTTCTACTTTTAAATATCATAAGCATGACCTGAGGAAGTACGATTTTTATTATGTATTAACAATTCCGTAAACTCTCTTAATTCCGTTAGGAATATCCGCTGTGTTTTCCAAGGTGAGAGGTAGGCAGACAAAAGTCCAGGTACTAAAATTTCAGTTCTTCAGTCTCAACTACCTACCACAAGACATGAAAGGACAGGAGCTCAAACTGTGTGCTTAAGCCCAGATATGTATTGTTAAATGTGACATGCTCAATTTATCATCAGTTATGAAGTGAAAACGGATGAATACACATTCAATTTAGTTCAGCTGCTTTCTTCGTTTATCACACTCTTTCATCATCCATCATCTTCCCCCGCCCTTTTGATTTGAACAAATAACACACTTTCATAAGTTTAATCTAATTAATCATAATTGTAAGGTAATGTTCCCTTAATGAACCATCCATCTGATTTTATAAAGTTTGTTGCAATTTTAATAAAATCTGCTCCAGATAGAATCTACAAATGTTCTCTCTGAAGCCCAACCACCTAATCATTCCTCTTCCTAATGCATGTTTCTCAACTCAGGGTGGCTGTGTGCATGCACACACGTGCAAAAAGCACGCTCTTCTTTCTAGGCTTGATGAAGACGTAGCCATACTGACAGTCACTGGAGCATGCAGGTCTTCTATAGAACAACTGTCTCAGTAAATTGCAAAGTGCTCATCCTTTTATGAGGTAAGATGGGAAGTTTAGAAAATTCATTGAAGAATGGAGGGGGAAAAAAGTAATGAGGGAATGAAGAGGGTTCCTCTTTCATTATTATGACAGGATGAAGTCAGACCTGGCGACTACAAAGATCAGGACAGAAATACAAAGAAGAATCTGTCATTCGTGGGTGGTAATAATTAAAGCTACAAATCCCCAAATCCTCTCTTTTTTTTTTTTTCTTTAATACAATAAAATTTTATTTTTGTTGGAGTCATATATTACTTTAGAGGTAATTTTCACTCCAAAAATATTTAAGGACAAAACCAAAACACTGGTTTTTAAAGGTGGTTTATAGCAGAGCACGTTATACAAATTAATATCTTTTAAAAGTATATAATTTCTCCTTTTAAAGTGAGTTCTCTCATGCAAGCTGTTGAAGTTACAGCAGCAGGGCAATCTCTGCTTTGTTTTGGGGTTGGTCCAAAGCCAGGTAGAGCTCCAATGCATGAAAAGCTTTAAAATTCTACCTTAAGGAGAGTCCATGTCAATACCAATTTCCAAGTACTTTTAAGAAAACTTAAATTTTCATATAAATACTGGAAATCTTAAAATTAGCCATTTCAAACAACACTAATTTCAGATGATCCCTTTATTTAGAATCCCTGTATCTCTGTTTTGATCAAGTCACATAGCCTAAATCAGCTTATTAAAAAAAAAAATTCTACCTAAAATATAGTTGTATTTTTTAAATAACAAATAAATATTGCCAGCTTGGAGAGACCTGGGGCACCCAACGTTATCTACCAACTGGCATTATCATTTTTCTACAAACGCTGCTGCTGCCATTGGGAGTCCTTATGCTTCCTCTTGCTGAAGCCGTCAGTCCTTCAATCTCGGCATTTAATTTATGTATTACCCATTCCATTGCTTCTCGGCCTTTATTAGCATTTGAAGATATGGTATTTGCCATCAGTCCTTCAAGGTAACTGCTAAGGCTGACTCCTTTCACAGTGATTATGGCTTCTTGAGTCAAGATAGTTTTCTCTGGGTCCTGGGGATGTGGCTTGTACGTAAGTCTCTCATCTACTGAAACCATATTTGTAAATGAAATAATTAGCAGATTTAAGTGCCATTGTTTTCTCTACAGGATCAACTACAGAATGTTCTTGCACATGTGTTTTGGTTCTTGCTGCACCGATAAGAGACTTCACAATGGAAGGCAGTCCCCACTCTGTGCTCGGAAGTCTATGGCTGTGCAACTTTCCGGAGGGATCTGTATGTCTGTCCAACACATCAACTCCCACCACACTCGGGTTCATAGGGTTTGGGTGTTTCTGCATTGCAGCTGTGGTGACAGTTTCCCATGGGTGGTCAAAGACGTGCTCCGAAGTCCACATCTTCATGGTTCCCCGGGCGGCGCTAAGGGACACTGAGGCAAAGAGGCTACACTTGCCCCCGCCCCACGGCCGGCTGCCCTCTCTTTCTAATAAAACTCAAAAAAGAAGTAGTTCATGGGAGAGATGCAAGGCTGAAAAGCATCACAATCACGTGTCGTTCCCCACAGCGGAAAAGAAAGAATAAGACGAACCTGCAAGAGCTTTGCTTTAGGGAACAGAGAACTCAGAGAACAACTTAAAGCCAGAAGCAGCATTTTTAAAGCCATTTCATTAACACACTGACTGCCACATTAAGAAAAAAAAAAAGATTTTTTCCCCCCGGGGCCGTGATATGTTATTAAAACAAAATTATCCTTTCTAAGTTTTTTTTTTAATTTCCTGTGCGTGAGTTACAATGCATCGCAATCCATGTTTTCAGAATCGTCAGTATTAACTGCAACAACAAGAACACCCACCGCAAGCAAGATTTTCACCAGCCCCACTGCAGGGTCGGCTTCCCTGCGGCCCCGGGCTCAAAACGAGCGTGAGTTAAATACAACTCACACGGCAGGCAGTCGGGGCGTTAAAAGTCCCTCGCTTTTGGCAACGAGGAGAGGGAAGCTCCGAGAGGCTCAGGGGGCCTTGCCCAGGGTCACGGGTGAGAGAGCACACGAGGCCACCGGCGTCCCAGCTCCGTCCCCACACGGCCTCACCGTCCCTTCCGCCTCACGGGACACCCACCAGCCCGTTCCCTCTTGGATACCAGTTATTTTCCATTTTGTATTGGAAAAAAACAAAAAAAAAAATTAGCACGTTTTGGGAAGAAAAGCAGAATCTCTTTGGCGCCTGGACCACCGTCACGGCAACATAAAGGAGCGATCTTGAGCACTTTTTAAGCGTCACACTGACAGGACCAGAGGCGGCACATACCTTTCCATGGCGTCTCTCGCCTGCCTCCCGCGCAAGATGGCGCCGGGCTTCCCCGCGTGGCGTCACTTCCGGCCGCGCGCCCGCGACTTCCGGCCCCGTGCGCCCGCGACTTCCGCCCGGTAGGAACGCTCTCCCTGACTGAGCGGCTGTTTCCCCGCCATTTATCTAAGGGTCACCTGGGTTAGTGATTCTTAGCCCGGAGTTTTCTTTTTCCTTTTTTTTTTCTTTTTTTTTTTTTGAGTCAGAGTCTCACTCTCCAACACGGCCTCACCGTCCTTCCGCCCTCACGACACCACCAGCCGTTCCCTCTTGGATACCAGTTATTTTCCATTTTGTATTGGAAAAAAACAAAAAAAAAATTAGCACGTTTTGGGAAGAAAAGCAGAATCTCTTTAGCGCCTGGACCACCGTCACGGCAACATAAAAGGAGCGATCTTCGAGCACTTTTTAAGCGTCACACCTGACAGGACCAGGGCGGCACATACCTTTCCATGGCGTCTCTCGTCGGCCTCCGCGCAAGATGGCGCCGGGCTTCCCCCGCGTGGCGTCACTTCCGGCCGCGCGCCCGCGACTTCCGGCCCGTGCGCCCGCGACTTCCGGCCCCCCGTGGGAACGCTCTCCCTGACTGACCGGCTGTTTCCCGCCATTTATCTAAGGGTCACCGGGGTCAGTGATTCTAGCCCGGAGTTTTCTTTTTCCTTTTTTTTTTCTTTTTTTTTTGAGTCAGAGTCTCACTCTGTCCCCCCGGGGTGGCCTCAGCCTCGCTCACTCACAGCAACCTCCAACTCCTGGCCTCAAGCGATCCTCCTGCCTCAGCCTCCTCCCGAGTAGCTGGGACTACAGGCATGCGCCACCACGCCCGGCTCATTTTTTCTATATATATTTTTTTAGTTGGCCAATTAATTTCTTTCTATTTATAGTAGAGACCGGGTCTCGCTCTTGCTCGGGCTGGTTTCGAACTCCTGACCTTGAGCAGGCCTCCAGCCTCGGCCTCCCAGAGTGCTAGGGTTGCAGGTGTGAGCCTCCTTGCCCGGCCTCCGGATTTTTCTTAAATGCCCTTTCTCCACGTGTTGGGGAGACGATGGCTAAACACTGAAGAATCCGTTTACCTAAAATGTTAAGAATAGGGGCTTTTACTAGTCGTCCTCTAGCTCTGTGGTCTCAGGGCCGACACCACGCGCTAGTCCTGACGCCCACCTTGGCCAAATGCTTCTCCCTGCTAACACTGACTCCAGATTTCACTCGTGATCCACTTTGGAGAGGACCTCATTAGAGGCCAAGGTGTAGGAAAGGGTCACACACTCACAAATGGAAACACGTGGACCAGGTTAATTCTTGGGCTGTTGTTGTTGTTTTTCTTTTTGGTTTGGGTTTGTTTGTTTTTGAGGCAGAGTCTCACTCTGTAGCCCAGGCTAGAGTGAGTGCCGTGGCGTCAAGCCCTCGCGCTCAACCGCAACTCAGACTCCTGGGCGATAGCGACTCCTCCCTGCCTCAGTTCCCTAAGTGCTGGGACTACAGGCAATGCGCCACCAGACGCCCAGGTCATTTTTCTAATATATTTTTTTATGGCCAATTCATTTCTTTCTTTTTTTTTTTTTAGTAGAGACGGGATCTCACTCTTGCTCAGGCCTGGGCCAAACTCCTACTTTGAAGCAATCCTCCGCCTCGCGCTCCAAGAAGTGCTGGGTGACAGGCATGAGCCACTCCCGCGCCATCCTTTGTTAAATTTTTTTTTTTTAAATGCTGATACACGAGACCCCATCTCTACTATAAATAGAAATTAATTGGCCCAACTAAATAGTAAAATAGCAAAAATGAGCCGGGCATGGTGGCTGCATGCCTGTAGTCCACCAGCTACTCGGGAGGAGGCGAGGCAGGAGGATCGCTTGAGCCCAGGAGTTGGAGGTTGCTGTGAGCGAAGCTGACACTACGGTACTCACTCTAGCCCAGGCGACAGAGTAAGACTCTGTCTCAAAAAAAAAAAATGCTGATACAAGTCCTCTCCTACACAGCTATAGCTTAGCCATAGCCATTAAAAGCTTTAAATTGTTGCAAGTCCTTTCATAGAAAAATTACAATTCCAGTCATTTGTTCTAAGTAAATAATACATCACCATTCGAAGATTGGGAACATCATTAAAATATTCTTGGCTACCTAAAATGATATTGTAGAATACTATTAAAAGATCTAAGGAAATATCCACCATACATTATGTTAAACGGGAAGGTTAGAAAACAGTATTGTAGTATTATCTCTTTTTTTTTAAATTTTACGAATATATTGCTTTTAGATGGGATAAATATGTCCTAACTGTCTTCATGTGTAAGAATTATGAAAATTGTAGTTCATTAACTGTAAGTGATAATATCTGTTTAATATCCTCCTTCTGTGAAAACAGAACTTGGCCTATCTTATTTCTGTTATATTCCCGATGTTTTGCATGTACCTAGAGAGTAGTAATGACTCAAATAGTCTCTGTTTGAGCAGATGATTTTAATGAAAGTGGTTTTATTTCCCTGGGGTGGCTTGTATATATTTTCTCAACTTCTACAAACGAAATGTTTCCTTGGCAAAGAGAAAAGACACGATAAGTATATTTTTATTGATTTCTTCGTTCCCAGTGCCCTGTTGTTATTTCATTCAAAAGCCTTTTTTTTTTCATTCGAAAGTCTTAACTTGAAAGCCTTTCCTAAGAAAATATCACGGCTCATGTTCTAGAAAACGAGGTGAAAAATTCCCGTTCGCGCTGGTGGAAGTCAGCAGAAAGCAGATAAAGAAATCATTATTCAAACACATGCAACACTGCGAGCGGTGCTTTAAGGTGCTTTCTTTCAATCAATAGTTAATTGAACAACTACTATGTACCGAGCATCCTAAAGTTCCTTTGGCCAGGTGGGAGGAGATGGAAACAGGTGAGAAGACAGTGAAAAAAGAACCTCTCTGCCTCCAGGGAAACTGGAAATTTGATTGGAAAACAGAGCCCACGAGCACGGTAATTCCATATAAATGGGGGAAAAAAAGCAATGCAATACAGCAGAATGAGGTTAAATGCTTAAAAGCAGAGGAGAGAGGGATTCGGTGGCAGCTGGGGCGGGAGGAGGTCAGAGAAGGCCTCAAAAGAGCGGGTTGACGCCTCCCAAAAGATCCATAGCTTGAATTTTGATGGATGAGGAAGGAGGAAGGTCGTTTTCCACATTTAACCCTTGAATTAGAATAGAAACTAATTCCATAGCCGGCAAATTTAATCCTGCAGAATCAAAAGGCCAAGCAGACTCACTGAAACATTCAGGGACAGAGGTTTTTTCCCTAACCCGAGGCCAGCGGCAAGCCAAACAGCAAATGACAAACCTTTGCCCCGGATCCTGATGCTTGGCCAAGGCCTCACCTGCACCGGCCTGCCACTAGGAGGGGAGGACGGGCTCCGGGCATTCAAATTTAAATTTTCTCCACAAGCAGTTCACTCACCACCTGACTACCCATGCTCTCTTTCCTCTCTTTTTTTTTTTCTTTTCTTTTTTTTTTTTTGAAACAGAGTCTCACTCTGTCGCCCGGGCTAGAGTGCCGTGCATATCGCCTCACTCACAGCAACCTCCACTCCTGGGGTCTAGCGTCCTCCCTGCCTCAGCCTCCCCTGGGGCGGGGTACAGGCATGCGCCACCACGCCCGGCTCATTTTTTCTATATATTTTTAGGTTGTCTGATTAACTTCTTTCTATTTTTTAGAGAGAT